AAAGTCCCCACAAGGATAGAGACTTGTGTGTGTGTGTATGTGTGTGTTACCTACCTGACCCTAAAACTAACCTAAACTCAATTACTTCACATCTTCGTCCTACCCACCACCCCCCCCAAAAAAAATCAGCCTCTGATGTCGTGGGGACTGGGCTTTGGTCCCCACAAGGAACTTTCAGTCCTCACAAGGCTGCATTTTCCTGAAAAATCATCCCCACCAAGTAGCAAAAACATTGACTGTTTATGGTTGAGTGTGGGCGTGTAGAGGACAGAACCTGAGGCGGGACCTTGTACGCAAACTCTGAGGTACAGGTGTGATCTATAAACAAAAGGTGTGCAGAAACGTGCGTAGTATGGTTTTATAAATCTGAATATTTTTGGGCACACGCCATTTTCACCTGTTGGCCGTATGTTCACTTTTAGTATGGTTTCCACGCAATCCTTTATAAATCTGGCCCCTGATCTCAGAGGACCTGAGTTTGACATGAAGTGGAAGAGCTGAGATACAAGTTTCTATAAACTAGAGATATGTTTTATAATTTAGCGCTAAAAAAGGTGTTTTGTTTAGGAAATGCCTTTTCCTTTGTGGACATAAAAGATAATTTCAAAAGCTTCATGATCTTATCATTGTTTTTTTCTATGCTGACTGACTGCTCTGCAGTGTCTGTGTCTATTTGATGGACTCGACGTCTGATCTGACAACAAAGTTTGGTTTTGAGCACAGTTTGGACTATTGAGGCTTGAGTTCGGTTTTGCAGGAAGAGTCAGAGGTTCTGTGAACGTAGTTTGAAAAAATGGGTTTTGTGTTTATGGTTTAGTGAAATGGATGGATGGTTTCAAGAAATGTGTTTTCTGCAACATACAAAATGACTTCAGAGATGGGGTACAGCTGCTGAGCCTAAAAAGACAACTCATTTTCAACTAAAAAAGAAAAAAAATGCACATATTGGTCAATCATATCACCAGAAAAATAGGCAGAACTCGAGTGTGGTGTTGTATTGCAGCTGACAACTTAATCAGAACCCATCCCAGGCCTTTATAAGTAGGCCACTGCGGACAAAAATATCAACCTGACACCAGTTCTCACCWGTTGGTTTTTAAACCGACCTCACACCTTGATGCTCCTGCTGGCTCTCAGACATTTATGTTTAAAAACTAACAGCCCAATACATTCACTAAACTCACAGGAGCTTCATCTGTCTCTCCACCTTTCATTGCTTCAAATGTCTCACTACCCCATGTACTGCCATAAATCTCCTGATAAGACATTATTGCACATAATATGTAATATAATATTACACGTGTTGATGAATAATGATTGGGTGTTGCCCTTTGGTTGTGTAACTGCTATTCACATGCTGTTACTCAAAAAAAAAAACACAATGTCCTGCTGCTGTTTCARCCGGTTCGCATTGTGCTGAAATGAGGAAAAAAACATGTTGGATAGTGTAGCCRACAAATATGGATGAATGAGTGTCCCAGGATTAAGTTGATTGAATCTARATAGATAACAAGATGAGCCATATTCACAACAATATTCCTGACAGAGCGTTCTACCTCATTGTARAGAGTTTCTGACCCCCGCTACTGCCTCCCACCTCCCAAAACACTCCAGCTTTCTCAATTCATGGGTTGCAGCCAACGTAGACTTTGGTGATATGGTTTGTATCACATCCAGTTGTTTCACACTATAACTTCACAAAATTCTGTATGAAAAAAGTTACATGTAAATAAATAAAAAGCATTCATAATTGGGGTTCAGCTCCAGTATCAGTAACTGCATTTTAWTTAATGTCTCATTACAGCAAAAATGTCATCAGCTAAGTTACTAAACAAACATTTAAAAACAAATTCTTTAATCCATGATACATTCCCAATCTCCGCCATAAAATTAAAAAAACCTCCACTCTTTGTTTTCCTATTTAATTTGCTGACGGTGCAAGGAATTCTTGGAAACTGTTGGCTGCATAAGATATTCAGATTCAGCCAGCGTTTTCAGGAGTTTGTTGGCTGCATGACAAGGCATCTATGAATTGTGAGAGCCTGAGGTGCCGGGCAGTGACAGAAGTCGCTGAAAAAATGTGCCCTACCTAAGTTTAAGTACAGATTCACAATTACTGATACACACCCAGTAAATTGCTCTGCAACTGCTCCTCCAAGTAGAGGGMGACTGGTTATATGCTGATGAGAGATGGACGTCAGCTGAGCTGATTCGGGAGTGGCAACAGGTGAGATYGACTGATGGGAAAAATACAGAGAGCTGTCTGAGTGAGAAAAGAGAAACAACAGGAAACACATACTATGGAGCTAGAAACAACTATAACACAGACTGAGAGGTAAACTAAAGTAACACAAGAAACGATTAACACAAAATCCTAAACATACAAAAAACATGAGAAGGCAAGAAAGTACCTACAGCAAAACTAAAGAACACAAAAAAAAAACATGAAATAAGAACACGAGGATTCTAACAGGGACTATATTACAACACTATGTTTGATACAGAGACTATATAAGTAGATCCAGCCAAACTGGCAACTTCAACATTAGATCTTAGTCCAAAAACAGAGAAGCAACCCTGCTTTAAACTGATTTTTAATTTTTATTCAAACAGCTTGACAAAATTGCTCCAATACCATGTAAGAAAACTGTGCAGCAAGATCGTTCACATAGCAATTAAAAACAGCTGCCACTGGCCAAAGTGCTGCACACAAAAACAAATAGCAAAAAGGCAATACAAAATACAAAGGTGCAAAAGTTTTATAAAAACTAAAAATTTGATAAAACATAAAACCATCAAAATAATCCCATTAATGGCAACTCTCATGCCAAAAGCCAGCAAGGGCAAATGTGTTTTAAGATGGGATTTCAAAACTCAGAGTTGAAGCCTGTCTGATGTAAAGGGGCAGCAGCCCCCACAGTTTAGGGGCTTCATCCGGACGTGGGGATCAAATCAAATGCTCATCAGATCTGCAGGGTCTGCTGGTCAGGCAGATACAGAGGAGCCTGCTGATTCAGGGCCTTACAGGTCAACAATAAAACCCTAAAATCAGTTCTAAAACTAGATACCGCACAGCGGTAACATAATGACCCCCGCACACACAAACGCACCAGAACTGAGAAGTCTTTATTCCTAATAAATGTCATGCTACCAGGTGCATCCCATAATTGTTGGGGGTCCTTTTTTTTTGGGGGGGGGGGGGGGGGGCATTGATTGACCTGATGAATTTTTATTGTTAATGGAGCGTGACTTACACGTAAATACTTGGAACATGCTAAGTATTCAGAGACGTAAGCCTGAACACAAACAAAACACTTCTGTTTAAAGATGTTTGCTTCGATAGATCCAAAACTAATTGTCCTTTAGACAAAATGCATGCAAATCAAAAACTCGCCTTTCCAGCGCCGTTTAAATAAAAACTAGCTTTCAGCTCAGTTTAAAACTCTTCAGCTCATGCTGTGAGCTGAAGCAGTTCAGCTGCTGTAAAGTGACGTCAGTCTTACTGAAAAATCACACAGCTTTAATCAGCAACTTTTTTTAAAGTTTTAGCGATGTTTTTCTAGACTTCAGTGACAGAAAACAAGCCTGCAGCAACCTGTATTTTTCTGAACACCATCAGCCATAAACATCAGCTTTATGAGTCATCAAAAATGACGTAAAAACATGCCAACAGCACTTTACACATTCAAAATTGCACAGAGAGAAATATTTAACCGTTTAGAAAGAACACATTCTCCACCATTTGTAAGGTTAAACCCTTACAACAGTAAGCTGATGAAAGGAAGCCAGCACTGAGGAGACAAGTTCATGCTTTTTTGTTTGTGTTAAAAGAGGAACTACAGGTTCTGCGCTAACGCCAACACAGAGATACTGCAAGCAGCTGGGAGACGAGAAAAGCATGAATCGCCTGTCCAAAGTCAGTAAAGGATAAAAATTATTTCACTTTAGATAAAAACCTCACATTAAAAAAAGATCTCAAAACCGAACTAATCTGTTTTTTAATTTATTAAGTATTAAACAAGCAAAGACCATTTTTAGCTTGGCTAAAGATTCTCCCAAAACAACAGTAAAATATTTTTATATTGTTAACAAATTTCTTTGTTATTAACCATTTCAGCACAATATTAAAATTTACTGGATACAGGATCAGGATAGAATTTATGGGAAGAAACTTTTGTCTCCAGAAACTGAATTTGAATTGTTCAGAATACATCTATATTTATTCATTAAATACATTAGTCTGAAAATGAATTTTCACTCAACTGAAACTGAATTTAATGGTTTAAATCTGAATGAATTTACTTTGAAACTTTATTATGTTAAAAATTCATTTTGACTGCTTTTACTGTACTTTCAGTTCTATAATTCAGTTGTTTTGTGTCACATCCAGATCCTACAGAAAGCCACAGAGTATTCAAATACAAAACAGATTAACATTTACACAAATTAATCCAGATTCAAACAGTTATATTCAGTTAAACTTATTTTTAAACCAGCATGTAAGGAGTATATTTACTGGATGTTTTTAGTTTTCAAAATGTATATATTTTTTCTCAATTCAAGCAAAATGAAGGTAAAGAGGAGGAGTGTAATGTGTGTGAGTGAATGTAACAGTGCATATTTATTTAAAACATATTAAGATTGACATATAAAATAGGTGTTCTCATTCTGAGACTTTTTAGGTTTAAAAATAATCTTTTTTTTTTTTTTACAAATAAGGCAATCCCAAGTGTTTTATTTAGTAATGCATCACAAGAGATTGTTCACAAGAACACCAGTACCAAAGTTCAACAAACTATAATTAGAGTGAATATATTGTAAAACTGTTCACAGTCAAACATTAGCAGCACTGTTTTTACTTTAACAAACGTCTAACAACTGGAATACAGAGAGCCGACAGCCCACCTGCCCCAAGATTAAAAGTAGTAGGTGGAGAAAACAGGTGTGGCAGTCCTGAGGGTGGTAAAAAAAATAAAAACAAACAAACACAGAGATAAGGTTACTTGATCAGTGGAGGCAGCAGAGAGCAGGACTAAATTCTGGACTGATATTCTTCCCGCTCGGCAGCTCCACCCTGTCAACAAACAGACGAGTCCCGGCTGATCATTGAAACTCTGTCATGAACGTTTCAAAGGAGCAACATTTTTCTCGTCTCTCTGTCTTTTTGTCCTTTTGGAAAATTTCCCTCGAAAAGCTTCGTTTACAGTCAACACGGCGTCAACATGTCTGAGCGTGGTGTTGCTATGGACAGAAGCAGGTATGTTAGTTTTGAAAAAGTTTTTTTCTCCTACTGGAGTTTATTTCTTATTAAAAAGAAGCAGAAAACAAGAATTGTGGATTTGTCGGAAAATGAGCTTAACGTTTAATTAGTGAAATATGTCTTTGCTTTATGTCAGGTAAGAGTTTTAAATGCATTTAACTGACCTAATATCACTGAARCCTTTGATACTGATCCGTGTTGCTCCCTAATGATTCTTTTTCAGCCAGAACAATGACAGACTTGGAAACAAGAGATGGTTTTCGCGRCATCACCTCCTCTTCTTTATTCTGGTTTTGGGAGCTCTGCTTTTCTTCAACTACACAAACAAAAAGGACATGGCGCTCGAGGCAAACCCTAAACAATGGATGCAAACTAATTCATCAAAACCACTGGTTCCTTCTACAAAACAAAATATTGTCTCCAAGAACCCAGGCAGCTCTGGTGCTGCAGAGACTGCTGGGCTTGCAGCTGAGCTTCCTCTGGCTCGGAGTGATTCATTAACACACGGCTCAGATATGGAAAATCATACGACAGTGATGGTGGAGATGATTCAACAGAAGCTACAGACACAAACGGCCCAGCTGMCGCCGCTTCCTTACGTGTCTCCTGGACCATACCATGTGGAGTATCCTCATGAGTACCACTTTACAATAAACGAGCCTCAGAAATGTGAGCAGGAGAAGCCATTTGTGGTTCTGATGGTTCAAGTGGCGCCACGTAACCGAGCTCACCGTGACATCATTCGCAGCACTTGGGGAAGCGAAGGCCTGGTTCTGGATAAAATGGTGAGGCTGTTCTTCCTGCTGGGAATGCAAACTGGAGAAGATACTCATCAGGTCCAGGAACAGGTGCTGCGGGAAAGCAGCGAGCACCGAGACCTGATTCAGAGCGATTTTGTTGACTGCTACAAGAATCTGACCATCAAAACCATGGTGATGCTGGAGTGGCTGAACCTGTACTGCTCCAGCGCTGCTTACGCCATGAAGATAGATTCAGACATGTTTCTAAATGTGCCCAATCTAGTTAAAATACTCTTAAATGCTCCAAAGACAGACTACATGGCTGGTTGTGTACAATATGGCGCTACAGTCTTGAGGGATCCAGAGTCTAAATGGTATGTGCCGACGGAGGTTTTCCCTGAGCCAGCTTACCCTCCCTATGCTCTGGGTCTGGGCTACATTTTATCTCTGGACCTGACAGAAAAGCTCATCGAAGCGTCCCGACATGTTAAAGCTCTGTATATAGAGGACGTGTATCTGGGCTTGTGTTTACRTCACTTGGGTATTCTTCCAACCAACAACCCAGGRGGTTTTTACCTCAGCCTGTATCCGGTGCGGTATAGTCCTTGTGAATACTCCAAGATACTTGCCACAGCAACAGAGTCATTCATTGACCGGGTGTGGCTGTGGAAGAACTTTAAAAGTCGGTCTACATACTGCTGATGAAAAAAAAAAAAAAAAAAAAAAAAAAAACCTGCTAGGTCAACTGGGGCAACCCTTGCTCTTAACAGCCTGAGCAAGTTCAAGCCACTGTTCCACATCAACTCCTGTCTGTTATTTTACGCAAAATTATTTTACATATTTATTTGACAAAAATAATACTTTAAATGTGCTATTTTATATTTGCTAAGACCAAAAAGTCATAAAATGAACAAAAGTTTTAACTTTGGGTCAGAATGTAAAATAGCCGCCCATAAATTTCCTTATCAAGTTTTGATAATTATGTATAATAGGTGTCATAATATATGTATGTGAGAAATATATTTTTATCTCTTTATAAAATTTATGAAAAGCAATATGTTGTTTTCTAAAAAACCATGAYGTCTGTTCCTGAAGGAACGTGTTATAGTTGTGTTTACCTGAAATCCAACACCACCAGAACCAAGTTCTTTTTAGAGGTTCTATATTTTTTCACATTCAGGCCGAGTTCAACCAGAGAAAGTTTCAAAGTTCAAAGTTTACCACAAAACACAGGGATTTAATTATGTTTCTATCACAGGGCTATTCAACAGGCATCCCACAATCTGTTGACACCCACCCCACCACTCAAAATAACCAATAAATTAATGAATAAAATAAATTTAAACATTTTTTATAGATTTTAAATCTATTGCAGATTTTTAATTATGATTCAACGCAGCAAAATAAACMAATGTTTTAAAAATACTTTTACATATTGCAGTGTGTTTCCCAACCATTGTTACGCAACAACCCCCGCCCGAAATCCATGTTCGGCACCTGAGCTGTTGGCTTTGAGTAACTGTGACCTCCTGAGCAGTTTAGCTGAACAGCCCTGCTTTATTATTTTTAGTGGAATCTGTAAYATGAACCAACGCTGGTTGTTGGACTGAAGCTGAACTGAACTGAATTGTGCATTGCACAACTAAACTCGTTACAAGGCTTTAGATAAAAACATTTACGTACATTATAAAAATGCTAATGAGTGCATTTGGTCTATCTAAAGATGACAGCAGGCTGTTTTCAGTTTTTGTTAAAAACATAAAAATCAAGCTGTGTAAAGATGTGCTGCACCAGATTATAGCTGTCAGCTTAAATCCATCTGCAGGTTAAGAAAAAGATACAGTAATAAATACATTAAAGTAAAAAACAAGTGCATATAACAAACAAAATCTTAATTCACAATTTATCCACAAATAACAGAAATACATCTCAAAAGGTGCACAGATTCTGATAATATAATGATAATAAATACAAAACAATAAAAATAATTTAAT